TTAAATTTTGTATTTTTTTTCTATAATTCTGCAAATGTTTCTATTAGGTTTCTGTATCTAGGTAGATATTTACTATAAAAATTCGTCCATCCCAAAAAGGATTCTAATTCATTTTTTTTTACTTTTTTGGTTTAGATACTTCCGATATTTTATTTATCAGTTTATTGTCTGGTGAAATTACTTCTTTAAATATTTGGTATCATAAATATGATATTTGTCACAATTTAACTCACATCTATCGCTATTTATATCAGCATTTTTTAATTTGTTTAAAACTAGTTCAATTTTTTTTAATACCTCTTTACTGCAAGCACCTATGCCTATATCGTCTTGATATATGATTATATTTTTTACCCCCTCCGATAGAACTTTTTCAATTGTCTTTTGAATAATATAGATTGAAATCTTAACTCCAAATGGAAGATGAGTCCATCTTAGTAAGCATATTGGGGTATTAATTATAGTGAGTTCTTTAAATTTTCTGTCAATTCTATGGAATTAACACATTAATTCCATCTATATTTTACGCGCGCACGAGTTTCCTCCCTTCCTTTCACACTTGTGCGTGTGTGCGTGCGGTTTTCACCCCTTTCTTCCTCTCACAGCTAGACATAGCAGTAACCTTTGCTAGCTCCTACTGATGAAGTCAGACTAACAGATTTTGAATTTTTTCCCGCGTGTTTTTCGGCGTCTCAAACGGCCAGCGTTTGCAAACCAGTTGCCTTCCGACTTTCGACCTAACTAGATGGGCAACTCATTTATTCCGTGCCCTGAACCCATATGCAGGCCGGAATATCTTATCTCAACAATGTCGACTTCACACTCTACCAAGACTTCTTCTCGTCTTGAAGCTGCCCGCAGGTCAGACCTTCTCCGTTTTTTCGACCAGAAGATGTTAGAGACACACGACGTTCGTGAGCAAAACTTCAGTCGCAACTAATGGCTTATTTTTATCCCTCGTCAGTGAACCAGTAAATACAGACAGGGATATCCTACTGACGAACAACTTGCTATCCGCAGGTCAGACCTTCTCCGTTTTCTGCTAGAAAATGTTAGAGACACACGACACAGTCGTGGGCAAAAACTTCGTATGCAACAGGTGACTTACATTTATCCCTCGTCAGTCAACAGTGAATACAGACAGGGATATTCTTACTTACGAACAAACATTTTTCGTCTCCCTGGGCTCACCGTAAACAACTCCACAAGACCATGAAAATCGCTTCAAACATTCTTCGTTTCTCCTGGCTAGATGCCCACAGCAATCCGTTAAAATTTCCAGCAGCCAATTCAATGCCTCACCAAAAACTCTGAGACGACCGAACATTCTTTCTAACCTTGAACCTGAACACAAAAATACCACACACACTTACAACGCCAAAAAAAATCCACAGTGAGTACTCCTTTCTATCTGTGCGCACATACACCTCGTGTTTAACGAGTTCCTTTTTCCAGAACCTTATAAAACTCTTTTTCCCGTCTTAGCCATCTTGCTTTCTATTTTGGCGCGGGACATTTTTCATTAATCTCGTACCACGAGATAAGTTACTTGTTTCCATCTAATTAAAGTTACACATGTTTTACAAACAAATGTCTGTCATTTTATTTCGGCTATCTCTTTGATGTTTATTAATTTATGCACTTGTTGATTGACCCCTTTCCTCTCACTGTTCATTCACGCATTTTTTTTTTTTTTTTATACATTGCTTGTGGACTCGGTAGTTTAGTGTGGTGTCTGGCACAAGGCCACTTAGTAATAAACCAGCACTGCACGCTGCCGGGTCCGAACAACAATTCCTATTTGGTTATATGTCAATTTTATTCTTGCTAATTCATGACTTGTCATTTTTATGTTATGTAAGGAAATAAATCAGAGCATACTAATGATGCACACCTACTTTGTAATCCCCACCAATCCTCAAATCACCATTTGGCTTTTGTATTGCAACAATTGGTGAAGCCCAACTTGGGTAACTTTCTGCAATATGCCTTGTTCTACCATTTTCTTTAGTTTTATGACTACCATGGGTAGAATGTGAATAGGTATTTTTCAAGATTCAAAATAGACTGGGTGATTATTTTCTCACCAATGCTGCAAAACATTTAATCTATGTTTCAGCTATGCTGCAGTTCATTCACATGGTTAGAGATCCTATTGGCGATGCCATATTGTTATAAAGTAGAGTAATTTCTGGAATATTGTCAAGTCAACAGATGGTAGATTGACTGGCATTCACTGTGGTGTTCTGATTTTATCGCAGAATCTCATTTACATACAATACTACAGTAAGAATGTAGGGTTGTTAGCATCTGCTCTTTTGCTGCAGCCATGTACATCCATTGTATGGGCTAGTTGAAGAGTCAGTTAATTACCATACATGTGATACACGCAGGGTGATCGAGTCTCTTTTTTGATTCATGGCTGACTATGTAGAAGATTTTTCCAGCAGTATGTTGAAGTTATTTCTGTGGTAGATTGGTTTGCCAACAAAGGCTATAGAACCTAGTCTGTCCTTCTATTCAACCCCATAGCTGAGGGAGGAGTGATAGATTTATACTTTTCTTGAGGATATCTGCATGTAAATTAATGTGGCAAACCTGAATGAAATTTGAACTTGGCTCTTCAATTTCACATTCTGAGCCATTATCTATTACAACGTTTTGGCTGTTGTATGCCTGGCCTTCTTCAGGTGGTTGGAATGTCGAATTGAACCTTTAATTAGCTCACTGGGGTAAAACTGTTCTAGTTCCATGTGCCATGTTTAAATGGATGTCAGTTATCAGTTATCTCCTGTTAATTCCCTCTGAAAGTTCTCCACTGCCTTAACCGGGCTTGAACTCACATACTTTGGGTCCTGTCACTGGATCTAACCAATGCCTTTATCCACTGTACCATGTGTCCTTGAGGATAAAGGGTTTGGTCAGATCCAATGTGAGTTCAGTACTTGGTTAAGGCAGTGGACAATTTATAAATGGAATTAACAGGAGATAACTGAAATTATTAAAACATGGCATGTGGAACTAGAACAGTCTACCCCATGAGTGAAATAAAGGGTTCAGTTTGACATTCCAACCAACTGAAGAGGGCTGGAAAGACTGTAAAAAAACTTGAAACATTGTAATAAATATGGCGACAAAGATGAGGAAAATAGTCCGAATAATGTAAATAGTGTTCATCCTTTATTTTAAAAAAGGCATAATTTCATATCCTTTATTGTAAAAAAAAAGGCATATTTTATTTGATCTATATATTTTTTTTTTTTTATATTCGGTTATACATGTTATTGGCCATTAATTGGCACTTAATTTGTGTAATTCCTTTCATTTCGTGTGTTCAATAAATTTAACGTATTTCCTTTTAAACTGAGCTTGTGGCATCTCTTTTTGTCGTGTGCCTTTGGCCCATACATTATGTCACTACAAACATTTATTTTGTACTTCAATACTTTTTTCATAGGGTTTTTTACCTTATAAAATCCTATATATGTTTTCCTTTCCAAACGCCTTGCCAACTGTGAAGCCCTTTGTAGGCAAGTTGTAAAAAATACACCAGATCAAACAGTGATTTCTCTTAAAAGAAAGATGCAAGTTCAATCCCAACCTGAGAGAATATTTTCTTTATTAAGAATTCTCTAATGTGCAGGCCAGTAGATGTAATATACACTATACAATAAGATATTACAATATTTATTGTACAATGAAAATGGGGCATCTATTTCAAATACGAGTATCCACTATTAATAACATTTGAAGTAATGAAAATGGTGGATTAAAACTAAAATCCATTAATTCTTTACATATATGCAAATACATGCTTACATGGAGAACAAAAATTACGATGTAAATAACAAAAGAATTATTCCATATTCAATTCAAAACAAGTCTCAGAAAATATTTCGAAATAGAAAAGTGGGTCCTTCCTGATAAACCCAACAAATCAAAATATATTGTTCTATGTTCTAAGTTTATTACAATTTACAACTGAAAAGAATTTATCTAAACTCAACATAAAATTTGTCACAACTACAAGTACAACAATAAAAGATTTAATAATAAACAATACAGTAAGCTAAAACTTGAAGGGGAATTTACTTTATCACCTGTAATAATTGCTACAAAGGAATACATAGGAGAAACCTTAAGGAATTTAAATAAAAGATTATATGAACATGAAAAAGGATTGTTAGAAATCAACCCATTAAACACATTACTTTTGACCATTAAAAATGTAACTAATTAAAAGAGGAAACAATTTACTAAGATGAAAATGTTTAGAAATAGCTTTAATCATTAGATCATCCACATTTAGGTCCAGGTTCTTACAATATTTCACCATTCCTAGCAGATCTTCTATTATCACAAAGTGGGATATTTAATAACAAAAGTGATGGAAAAAGAAAAGTATCTAAATTAAATCCATTAGATTATATACCCAAAACATATATAGGGTGTCCATAAAGTTCGTGTGCACTTTAAAAAATTTATAACTTTATTTGTATTTGCGATAGAAATAATTTGTAAAAATGATTAGAAAGAAGTAAATCTATAGTTTTTAGGGTTTTATTGAAATTTTATTTAACTTTCCACATGTCCTCCATCATTAGCAATACAAAGGGTAATACGATTTTGCAGTTCACGGAAAACGTTTGCCAACTGATTTACAGTAATGCCTGAAATTACATTAGTTATTTTAGCTATACTTAAAACTAGGTACATTAAACTTTATAACATTTTTTACAGATTATTTCTATCACAAATACAAATAAAGTTATAATTTTTTTTAAGTGCACACGAACTTTATGGTCACCCTGTATTTAAAAAAAATTTTTAATTTTCAGCTTCCTTCTTTCTTTCATGTGCATATGTAGTCACATGAACACCAACATAAATTTAGTCCAATGAACTCCTAAAGGACAAAAAAAAAATGTGTCACCTGACATGTTTTTCCGCTTTGTCATACTTCTTTACCCCAAAAATAGAATGAAAATAGGTTTTCTTACCTGGTGATGGTGACTGCGTTGGCGCTGGTCCACATCGGCTTACTTTATCTCTACAACAGTTGGAGAATTCATGACATCTTGGATTACACTGGCAAAGGGCACTAGGATTTACTACATTATTGCATCGTCCAATACAATTATCAACTGAAAAATAAAACAAAATAAGATTTTATCTTTCAAATGGTGCCACCATTATATGCTCAAAATTGGTTTCACTTACTTTTTCCTAATCCCAATACAAGGCCCAAGAGCCAGTAAAGGTAAAGAGTTACTGACTGAGAGCGATTTTAGGGAACAAAGGGAAGAAAGATCATATCATGAGAATATGTAGGATATATATCAATTGACTCTCTTGAAGAGGTTAAGATTATATTGATTGGGAAAGCATCCTCTCGGGAGTATGTTCCACAAAGTCACAGTTCTAGGAAAGAACCTGAGTGAAATTTCCTTCTTACTAAAGAAAGAATTAATGAATAGGGATGACTTGCTACCATAAACATGGCATGGAAGGTTCCAGCTGTGAAGATCTGAACTGGTGGAACTAAGGAATGTAGCTCGTCTGAACATTTGCCATGGAAATAGCGATAGAGTAGAGAGAGGCTTAGCTGTGAAGGTCTAAACTGGTGGAACTAAGGAATGTAGCTCGTCTGAACATTTGCCATGGAAATAGCGAGAGTAGAGAGAGGCTTAGTAGTAAAGGTCTGAACTGGTAGAACTAAGGAATGTAGCTCGTCTGAACATTTGTCATGGAAATAGCGACAGAGTAGAGAGGGGCTTAGCTCTAAAGGTCTGAACTGGTGGAATTAAGGAATGTAGCTCGTTTGAACATTTGCCATGGAAATAGCGATAGAATAATGTGATTCCAGCACCACTGTTTGCAGAAAAGAGATTGTAAGGTGGGATATAATTCCTCACCCACGAGGCTGTGTAATCACTTTTAAACTATGCAACACCAGCCAAGATATGGCAGCAATTCTTGCTCTGATTTTAGTCTTGTAAAGGTAGATCATGGCTGTTGGAATTAGGTACTTTCTAGAGCGATACAAGGAACCAACCATTTTTTCAGCACCTTTAGTGATGCTATGATTACCTAGAGTTTTACAGGAGCACGCATGTAACCATAGCCCTTCTCTTTTCTCTCTTAGACATGGACACTGCCTGGGCATCTCGCTCCACCAAATGATCTTTTTATCAACATTAAGATTAATCTGAAGTAGTCATAGGCAAAGGTTATCGAAATGTTCTCAGGAGCAAAGGCAATGAGTTACAAAAAAGTAAAAACAGAAACGATTTTCTAGAATAGACAATAGTCTTGCTTGTGAAATAATCACAGAGAATTTATTCATCAAGGGTTTCACTATCTTCTTGCTGCGGTCTGCCTAATTACAGTTGATTTGGCACTTAATAGGTGTCTGTCTTATATACAACATATCACAACAACCCTAACAGTGTCCCAGACTACTGACTTGCAGAAAATTCAACATATTCAAATCAGGAACATGTCTCAGGCCGACAGACAAAGTTGATCTCCAAAACCAGGAATCTAACTCTTTTTTTCAGTCTACAAACAAAAATTCTTAGACTGGGGAAATCTTTTAAGTTAACAAATATTCTTGGATAGTAAGGGGTGGCAAAGAGCAGGTGTAATGTCAATTGCTTTTGCTACATCTTGTCATTCCTCTGGTTGACACATCTGCTCCGTCATTTCCTGGATTTCCCTACTGCCAGCTAATGGCCAACTGCTCCATATATGTAAGTAATATGTTCCTTTCAAGTTTCAAGTCACAAGTTGGGTTTCCAGTCTATCATCAGTGAATCAAATTCTTATGTTATAAATTCAAGGTAGAAAAAAAATGGAGTGTTAAAAAAAAAAATACCAACTTTTGATTTAGAGCAGATCTGGGACAGCTGTTTACCTCAGCTGTCACTCTTTCAGCAGCAAGGGAGATTGTGCTTGAGTATATCTTGCCTCACTCATTCTCACCAGATAAAAATCCTGCTAATTCACAAGTTCAAATAAAATCCCAAACAACATAGCTTGGCTATCTGAGCTTTTCATATAAAGTGCTCAAGCTCATTCCCAGCTATAGATTCACCCACTTGTAAAATACACAGCATTAAATTCCTCCCTCAAAAACTTGTAATTTACCTTAATCAGTAAATTACAACTACAGGAATTCTCATTACAGCCTGAAAATAATTGTACATTCACTTACTAGTAAAACTGTTATATACCGTACATATGAACACTAATGTGTATTTCGCAATCCTCATAAATATGTTGGACACTATTGTAAGTGGTGAGGGGGTAATATGCTGTCTAAGTAGTCCACCACTAGCAGTGGTTTACCTACTTCACACTGCTGGCGAGTATTCTATTTTGTTGATGTTATAAAGATTACCATTTCATTTCCAACCTCAGTTTTGGTTATTCAGTAACCCTTTCTAGGTTACAACAAAAACGCAGATAATTAATGCTGATATATTTATCACTCATCCACATGTTGCTGCTTCTTCCTGTTCTCATTGTTGGGGGTCAGGGAACATGGTCAATTGTTATGATTTTTATTTCAGAGTTTTCCTTCTCCTAAACTGGTTGCTAGAGAGACAACTATGATCTACTATTTAATCCATAGATAGGAGGAGATGAGATGGATTCATACATTTCCCAATAGTATTTGCAAGTAAGTGAATGTAATGAACTCAACTGGAATTGGAACTTGGCTCTCCAGTTTCTCATATCACACTGTTATAAAAAAAAAAGTAACTACACCACCAGCCAATTCCTAATTAGTAAATTACAAATGTATCAGTCCTCATGCCAACCAACCCCTAATTATGGATTCACTTACTAATAAAAACTGTTGTATTGGAGTAAAGTGTCACTACCGACACTGTAGTTTGAACATAGATTGCCAGTGAGCAAATATGGGCAATTCCATTATTTAATTAAGTAGATCACATGATCATAAAGAAATGTATAAATGAGAAGTTGCATGACATCTAAGTGTTCATGACTAACAATACTAGTACAGATCACTATTTCTACACTATCCTCTATCAGTCAGTTACGTGTCATGCATGATCATTTTAACCAACACTTGAATTATAATTATACAAACAATAATATTAGACTAGTTTTAACTAATCTTAATTCTTCCGTTAATAATTGAGTACAATTATGGTGAGTTCTGTGACAGTAAAATATCCATAGAAATTCCTCCGATGCATTGTTAAATATTTGAGTTTAACAACTTTAACAAAATATTGCAATAACAATCATAAATATGAAGGCTGGTCGTTATTTTAAGAAGTGGGTAGAAATGAAAATATTTAAAATTACCAACTTTTTCCATTTCACTGAAAACAACAAAATATTCATGATTTATTTACAGGACACAATGGTCATACAAATTAAGAAAGGCATGTACAAACACAATTATAATAGGATATTTACACTATTTACATGCAAATATTTCCCTCATCACAACATTTCGGCCTTATCACTGTTTTGGCCATGGGCCACCCCCATTCACATTTATCAGGTGTATGCCGATCCTGATAATTTACTAGGATTACTGAACTGAACCCTTTTTGGTTGACTGTTCTTATACCACTGCCCATGATATCTCATCTAATTCTTATTTTTAGTACCAATGTTAGTGCTCACCATGTTTACTAAAATAAGAACTTGATGAGATATCCCAAGATATGAGCAGTGGAACAAGAACAGTCTACTGATGTACATTAAATCAAGAGTTCAGTTCAGAATTTCCCTGTATGTTATACTGAATGACATACACTTGTTGAGGGGCCGACGGCATAATGGCCAAAATATCTTGATTACAATAAAGATGAGGACAACAGTCTGCATATAAATAGTTTAAATAATGATAACAACTCTTTCCAGAAATTCGGAGAGGAATAATATTAGACTAACAAAAATACTAAATATTTTAACAGTAATTCAACCAAAATAATGAACCTAGTGTAATAAGATAAAAACAAAATAATCATGATCATTTTATGTACTTATATACATCAAGGTGCAGCACAACTTCTTTTTAATATTCAAAATATTCTGAAATTTCAAAATAATTTCCCATTTGCTGAAAAATAAAATAAATAAATAAATAAATGCATGATTTCATCACTGGAAGTTATCAGGCTTATTGGCCTTGGTCCACACACACTGACTTTGTCTGGACAGCAATTATTGTGTCAATGGAATTCAGCATCACGTTGACATTTGCAATTGTAATCAAATCTGGAAATGCATTGTCCAACACAATTATCAGTTAAAATGGATTCATATCATAGCATTAAAATAACTACATTATACTTTGAAATCAAATTTCATTTAATCGACAAGTCTATTATTAAATTGCTAATCATAAACTAAATTCCAGTTTCCAAAGATTACCAGAAATAAAAAGTGATTTAAAAATCACAGACTTTTGAAAACCTTTCATGTAGAACTCATGGTTTACTACAAGCAAGTCATTCAAGTAATTCTTGTAAAGTATTAAATTAAAAACTAAATAAATATCTGTACAATCGTAATTTTTTTTAAATATTCAAAAATATTCTGAATTATTCAGAAACTTGAAAATACTACAAAATTTTAAAATAAATTTAAAAGATTTTCTCACACTATGTTATTGGGTGTATTGATTCTTTTCCACACATTTTGTCTGGACAACAATTATTGTTTTCATGGAACTCCACCTTGCATTGACAACACTTCTCTCTAATCTAGTTGTATTCAGATGACTTTTTTTATTATTCAAAATCTAAATTATGAAATAAATTGCAGTTTCCTATTGCAGAAAATAGACTTTTTGTCAAAATATTTCAGATATAGAAAAAAAAAATGTATTAGGCATTGGCAGGAGATGGTAAACTTTGATCTTCCCTTCTTTCATGTTCACACTGAAAACACAATGTCTTTTTCCTTCTTTCCACAAAATCAAAACAGAATATTTACATATTTACAGGACACAATGGTCATGCGAATTAACAAAGGGATGTACAAACAAAAATATAATAGGATATTTACACTATTTATATACAATTATTGCCTTCATCACAACGTTTCCACCTTATCCATATGTTTTGGCCATTGCCCCCTTCGGCCATCATCA